ATATGCTTTAACTGCAGACTGTCAGCTTTAATTTGAGGGTATTTACATCCAAATCAGGTGAATGGTGTAGGAATTACAACAGTTTGCATATGTGCCTCCCACTTGTTAAGGGACCAAAAGTAATGGGACAATTGGCTTCTCAGCTGTTCCATGGCCAGGTGTGTGTTATTCCCTCATTATCCCAATTACAATGAGCAGATTAAAGGTCCAGAGTTCATTTCAAGTGTGCTATTTGCATTTGGAATGTGTTGCTGTCAACTCTCAAGATGAGATCCAAAGAGCTGTCACTATCAGGGAAGCAAGCCATCATTAGGCTGAAAAAACAAAACAAACCCATCAGAGAGATAGCAAAAACATTAGGCATAGCCAAAACAACTGTTTGGAACATTCTTAAAAAGAAGGAACGCACCGGTGAGCTCAGCAACACCAAAAGACCCGGAAGACCATGGAAAACAACTGTGGTGGATGACCGAAGAATTCTTTCCCTGGTGAAGAAAACACACTTCACAACAGTTGGCCAGATCAAGAACACTCTCCAGGAGGTAGGTGTATGTGTGTCAAAGTCAACAATCAAGAGAAGACTTCACCAGAGTGAATACAGAGGGTTCACCACAAGATGTAAACCATTGGTGAGCCTCAAAAACAGGAAGGCCAGATTAGAGTTTGCCAAACGACATCTAAAAAGCCTTCACAGTTCTGGAACAACATCCTATGGACAGATGAGACCAAGATCAACTTGTACCAGAGTGATGGGAAGAGAAGAGTATGGAGAAGGAAAGGAACTGCTCATTATCCTAAGCATACCACCTCATCAGTGAAGCATGGTGGTGGAAGTGTCATGGCGTGGGCATGTATGGCTGCCAATGGAACTGGTTCTCCTCTATTTATTGATGATGTGACTGCTGACAAAAGCAGCAGGATGAATTCTGAAGTGTTTCGGGCAATATTATCTGCTCATATTCAGCCAAATGCTTCAGAACTCATTGGACGCCGCTTCACAGTGCAGATGGACAATGACCCAAAGCATACTGCAAAAGCAACCAAAGAGTTTTTTAAGGAAAGAAGTGGAATGTTATGCAATGGCCAAGTCAATCATCTGACCTGAATCCGATTGAGCATGCATTTCACTTGCTGAAGACAAAACTGAAGGGAAATTGCCCTAAGAACAAGCAGGAACTGAAGACAGTTGCAGTAGAAGCCTGGCAGAGCATCACCAGGGATGAAACCCAGCGTCTGGTGATGTCTATGCATTCCAGACTTCAGGCTGTAATTGACTGCAAAGGATTTGCAACCAAGTATTACAAAGTGAAAGTTTGATTTATGATTATTATTCTGTCCCATTACTTTTAGTCCCTTAACAAGTGGGAGGCACATATGCAAAATGTTGTAATTCCTACACCGTTCACCTGATTTGGATGTAAATACCCTTAAATTAAAGCTGACAGTCTGCAGTTAAAGCACATCTTGTTTGTTTCATTTCAAATCCATTGTGGTGGTGTATAGAGCCAAAAATGTTAGAATTGTGTCGATGTCCCAATATTTATGGACCTGACTGTATAATAATTGGATTGTGTGAAAGTTATAGCGTCTACAAACTATGGTATATATTTTGGAATTTACGCAGCTTTTACTTTCTGACTGCCTATTACATTTCTCGAGATTCTAAAATGCCAGGGCAGTACAAAAACCCTGAAAATGACCCTTTTTTGGAAAGTAGATACAACAAGGAATTTGCTGAGAGGCATGTTGAGTCCATGGAACATTTTATTTTTTTGCCACAAATTTTTGGAAAATTACAAAAACATTTTTTTGTTATTGCGGGTAAATAACTTTGATGGGGGTTATGGTCGTTATTGGATGCCTAGGAACTCAGTCAATGTATAACTTGAGGACATCTTCGGTAATCACAGACTTCTAGTAAAAATCAGAGACTGGAATAACTGTACATCTTGGCTAGCCACAAGTCCCAACTTGATTTCAGGTACTTTATTCTTCCCTGCAAAATGCCAGCGCACCTGGCTCCAACTGAGAATTCCCCAAGCAAGTGTGGAGGATAATAGTATGCTGTCCTTCTGAAAGGTAGAATATTGCACTAGGCTGCAGTCTCCCTTGTAGGCTTTGGGAGGAGGGGGGGGGGAGATGAAAAGTGTAGAACTATGAGGTCCACTGTGGATACACCGTTTTCTTGGCACCAAAATCCAGACTGTGCTTACAGAGAAATTACTTTCAACAGACTGGCAAAGCACTTCTAATAATGATCCCAGCACTGGCACATTACCACGAGATTATGCCAAGGAGGGTTGAAGGTTGGCAGTAACTGTCCCTCCCAAAAGGCTAGCTGGGTATTGCAGCTGGCTGCCTCTCCCCTATAGGCTGTGGGAAGTAAACAAACAAAGGTTACTCACTCAGTTCCTAGTGTCTGGTAGCAGGGATGGTAACTTCTGATCAGGCCTCCTGCTTAACAGGTTCCATGTACTCCCAGGGTGTCTCAGCCAAGGCTGACTGAGGCTGAAGGGGTGAAGGTTTCTTTCCGCTTCCTTCCTTTTTCTCTCTCTCTGGCACAGAGGACCCCTTCAGGCTTTTGGATCCTGGACTCTCTTTCTCTACATGGCCAGGATCCTGAGCATTTATGGGTGAACTCTCCACCCTTCTGGGCCATCCTCACCCAGGGACTGGTAGAGCTCCCATGGATATTCAGGCTTCTATATCCATCCCTTCACCCACTAAGTTCTGGATTTTCTGGAAGCTTCCAGAAGCAAGGGGAAGGTGAACCTCCACCCAAGTCTCAATTCTTTTGGAGACTCTAACAGGTTTCTCAGATTGCCCTGTATTTGGCTCCATCCATCTTCCCATCAACTCTGACCAGCTTCCCTGTCCCTGCTGAAGAAAGCATCCCCACATTTTATTTTAACTGACAAATGCGTGATCATGCAATGCCACACCCAAATTAAATTTATGGCCTTTTTTTCCACTAATTGAGCTTTCTTTTGGTGGTATTTGATTGCCTGTGCAGTTTTTTTTTTTTGCGCTATAAACAAAAAAATTCCGACAATTTTGAAAAAAAAAATATATTTTTTTGTGTTTTTGCTATTAAACATGTCCAGTAAAAAATTTTTAAAAATAAAGTTTCATCATAAATTTAGGCCAAAATGTATTCTGCTACATGTTATTACTAGTAATGGTGGCGATTAGAGACATATAGCTGGACTGTAGTGGGCATTCTGACACAAGGGGGAAACTGACTTGGTGTCACTGACATCCCCAGTGATACCAATACAGTGATTAGTACTAATAAAAAGCACTGACACTGTACTAATGGCACTGGGCAGGAAGGGGTTAACATGTGGGGCGATCGAAGGGTTAACTGTGTGCTGTTTTACTATGTGGGCTGTGTATGCTTTACACTGTAAGCACACTGCTTTGTATAGCTCTGCTATGCAGAGCCATACAGAGCAGTGTGCAGGAGCTGACGGGAGAAATCTGTATTGTTTACATACAGGTCTCTCCCCCATCAGCAATACTCGAAGATCATGAAGAATCACCGGCCCCAGTGATTGACAGCCCATCGCTGCAAATGGTGGCACGGGTAAGGCGTGCACCCCCTACCCGAAGCTGCAAAACCACGTGCCACCCTGTAGCAGTATTTCTTCTGTAGGGCAGTGTGGAAGCAGCTAATTAATGCTCTTCTTGCCTGGCCTGTCAGTTTAAATGGATGGCCATGTCTTGGTAAGTTTGCAGTTGTGCCATACGCTTTCCATTTTCAGATGATGGATTGAACAGTACTCCGTGAGATTTCCAAAGCTTGGATTTTTTTTTATAAACTAACATTGTTTTAAACTTCTCCACAACTTTATCCCTTACCAGTCTGGTGTGTTCCTTGGCCTCATGATGCTGTTTGTTCACTAATCTTCTCTAACAAACCTCTGAGGGCTTCACAGAACAGCTGTTTTTATATTGAGATTAAATTCCACACAGGTGAACTCAATTTACTAATTAGGTGACTTCTGAAGGCAATTGGTTCCACTAGATTTTAGTTAGGGGTATCAGAGTAAAGTGGGCAGAATACAAATGCACACCACACTTTTCAGAAATTTATTTGTAAAAAATGTTGAAAACCATTTATCATTTTCCTTCCACTTCACAATTATGTGCTACTTTGTGTTGGTCTATCCCTGAAAATCCCAATAAAATACATTTAAATTTTTGGTTGTAACATGACAAAATGTGGAAAATTTCAAGGGGTATGAATACTTTTTCAAGGCACGGTAAGCTATCTGAAGGTGCTTGTGCTGAGTAAGAGTCAGTTTGTTTATTTTGCCTAAAATACACTTTAAGGGCCAATATAGTAAACAATATCGTATTCTGATAAAGGTATGGGGTTATTACCTGTAATGATTCAGGGCCTCTTCACCCTTTTTCAATAGTTGTGGTGCATTTAGAGTGCGTTAAAGCACCCAACTTTTTTCTACTGTCCATTCTGGAAGGGTAAATGTTTATACTCAGCCCTTCTAGCAACGTTTATATTCTAAATGGGTTTCCTCCGGGTACTCCGGTTTCCTCCCACACTCCAAAAACATGCTGGTAGGTGAATTGGATCCTGTATAAATTGTCCCTAGTATGTGTAGGTATGAATGTGAGTTAGGGACCTTAGATTGTACACCCCTTGAGGGTTGGGGGATTGATGTGAATGTATAATATATAAGTAAAGCGCTGCGTAAATTGATGGCGCTATATAAGTACCTGAAATAAATAAATAAATACTGTAGAGCATGTACATGTAGGAATGTTATGGTGAGACAAAAACGACTGTGCGTAATTCACATCCTAACTGAAAGATAAGCTTACCAAAGGTGTCCAATCGATTTCTGCCATGTTGTTCAGATGGCATTTGGCTGTATGGGTTTCTACACCAAGTTTGGTTAAATCACTTTCACATTTTTTGTACAATAGATTGCAAGCATTTAAACTGGCTGAATGATTTACATTTATTTTGCTTTTAGGATTTCCTGCGCTGTGTCTCAGCTGCTGTCATTTTTCTGGTAGTCTCCATTGTGGCTGCAGCCCGGAGTTCAGGAGATGGAGGGGCTATTACTGCAGCTGTGAGTACTTTTGCAGACGTCATTTCTTTTGCTTTACCTTCATTTTCTACTTCAAATCTATTGTTTCTGTCTGCAGTGAAACATACTAATTTATTTCCTAATTCAGTTACTTTGTTTTTTCATAAGTTTCATTTCTTTGAACAGCTTTACAATGAACTGGAATATAAAATAGTGCTAACATAATGTCGTCATATCGGAACAATTGGCTTCCTTTTTGCTAATGGTTTTATTAATAGTATTCAGGCTCACAAAGGCTATCTGTGTGTTGCAGCAGATTGGTTCTCATGTGGTGCATGTACCTTAACGGGGTAGCTCTGACCAATATATGAGGGACCCTTCTTTGTCAAGTTAGAGTTATTTTCCCGGTTTAAAAGCTAAGTATTAGTTGAAGCAGAAACCAGAGCAACCATGACTGTAAAAATCCAACACAATGATATAAAATAGCAACAAAATCTGTGCTCTTACATCGGTGAACCTCTTTACCTTAGTGTATTCACTCTTCCGACTTTGGTGTAAAGGGGAACTCTGATGTAAGAGGTTCTCTAGTCACCAGAGCCCCCTCTCCCCCCCACATCAGAGTTCCCAGCATCCCTCCTTATATCAGAGTTCACCCTTATAGTGCAAGGGGAAACTTTGCAAGGTAAGGAAGAACTCTGTAAACTGCTGTAAGGGGGAGTTCTAGTGACAAGAGAATCTCTTACATCAGAGTTCCCCATTACACCAGAGTCTGCAGCATTCCCCCATGAATCATGGTCCACAGTGTTCCTCTTTACATCAGGGTCTGCAGAGTTCTCTTTACTTCAAGGTCAGCAGAGTTCCCCTTTGCACTGTAAAGGAGAACTCTGATGCACTGTATAGGGGCCCTCTGATATAAAGAGGGCTCTGGGGATGCTGGGAACTCTGACGCAAGGGGGAACTCTAATGTAAGGGCAGGAAGGTGGCCCACTGCAGAGCGTGTGAAAGGGTCCCACTGCAAGACTGTAATAAAGGGCCCCAGGATGGGAGTAAAGAGACCTGGAGTCAATGGAAAGGGGCTCGAGTCAGGGGGGTCCTTCATGGTAGATAGTAAACTTTTGGTGCTGAAACCTAAAAAAACTGTTTGCCCAAATGCCCCTAACCTTCAACATATCACTAATCCTCAACATGATTTTGACACTTCACCCTACCCTCACCCAAACCTTAAAACTTTACTGAACCCTTTAGATTGACACAACCTTTATTTATACCTTGTGGTGACTATACATAATAATTTTGTTGGCAAATTTGAAGCTTTACAACTCTCATCCACAACAATTTGCCACCCCAAAGTTTGAGCAGTTTCTCAGTTTAAAGTGACCAAACGTTTGAAACTGACATGTCTTTTTTATTGGCACTGCAATGGTTATGATTTCATTCCACCACAACTTTAATTGTTTGCCATTTGAGGTACAAAACAAAACACTGATGGTAGATAGCTTTGGCTGAAAGCTCATACAAAATCTCTACATTCCCTATACACATAGTAACTTTAACCTTTTAATCTAACACAATAAATGAAGCCTTAAAGTGGTTCTGAAGTCTCAAGGTTTTTAACCTTCATACATTCTATGCATGAAGGTAAAAAATCTTCTGTGTGTAGCAGCCCCCCCCCCTAACACTTACCTGAGCAACTCTTGATACAGCGATGTCCAGAAGAGCCTTGGTTCTCTGGGGACTCTCACTCCTGATCGGCTGATGCAGCAGCGGAAGCCTCACAATCAGATCCAGTGAGTCAATCAGGAGAGGAAGGGGGAGGGGCGAGCTGGGGCTCTGTGTGTGAATGGCAATCACAGCCAGTGAGTCAATCAGGAGAGGAAGGGGGAGGGGCGAGCTGGGGCTCTGTGTGTGAATGGACATGCAGAGCTGTGGATCTGGAGCCCCTATAACAAGCTGTTTGCCATGGGGGCATCTGACAGGAGGGAGGGGCCAGGAGCTACAGCAGGGCACCCGAGAAGAGGAAGGTCCGAGCTGCTCTGTGCATAATCACTGCACAGAGCAGGTTAGTATAACATGTTTGTTATTTTCAAGAAATGAAAAACAAGACTTTATTATCACTTTAATTCTTAACATTTAACAATAATGCATCTAATGTAAACTATCCCTAAAACTGAACCCTTAAAACCTAACCCTAAAACTTATAGGAAAACATTAAAATTCTCCCTAAATCATAACGTAAACCTACAATCCTTAGCCCTAACCTTAAAGAAGCTAACACTAACTGTAATGTCTATCAGCTTTTTACCATACTTACCCTATTAGGTGTATGGAGTGTCAGCACAAAAAGGTACCTGTTTTGCATTGAGATGTCACATCGCTGAAATCTTACAGCCAAAAAAACAAGGATCCATAAGTTAAATGTCTATGCAGGAAATGTTCTTTAGTAGTACTTGAGATAAATTGACATACACTATGTGTACATGAATGATCAAATAAATGGGTTCATAATTTATGGTTGAGAGACATTTCTATAGATACACTTTTGCTCGCTATCTAATTGCTCACAGTCCATATATAGTTCTCAGCTATCCTAAAGTCGGCAACAGGCAGATCAAAATCTCAATCCATCTATGGGCAGGCTGGTTGTACTGAAGTCGATCTATCAAGCAGGTTCAGTACAACCAGCCTGTCTGTTTTTCCTGTTTGATCATTGCCAGCAGCTGTAGCCTGCAGCAATGATCTTTGTATTCTGACAGCAGGAAAACTTCTTGCTGTCAGAATACAGCAGCACAGTAGGAGAGAATCGAGCCATAGATTATGCTGGCCATAGATTATGCAATTTTGTTTCCTTCATTATGCAGTTTTCTTTCCTTCAGACATGGGTTGAGGTGGCCATACATGTTAACAGATTACTAATGATTGTACACATACAGTTTTGCATTGTACATATGTGATATAAAGCAATAGCGCCTCATAGGAAGTAAATGGAGATAGCATGAAAATGTGGATAAGCATGTGGTTAATGGGTAACAATCTGAGGGTTTGATAGTTCAGTTCTAGTCTGACCCCTACATTTTTATGGCTAGTTTTTTCATAAATCAACACAGTGAATGTATCCCCTCCCCAAAAGGATAGAAGTAAAATTTTAGATATTCTACAGTTTCTATTAAACTAACCTCTCAAATGTAATATATTTTATCCCCTTTACACACATAAAAATAGTGTATAGATTCCCATAGTTCCCGACATGAACACCTACCCTGTGCATTGTACAGTTTAGAGTTAGGCAGCCAATACATTAGTCAGTTTTTTTCCTTCAACCAGCTGGTTGAATAAAAAAAATACTGACTTGACATCAGATGTGTGGATGTGGGAATCCCTCCTGCTGTGTCTTTGTATTCTGACAGCAGGGGGACTTCCTCACCACCAGAATACACACAGAGCAATATACAAGAAATTTCCCAACAGGGCTGTTGAACAGAAGTCAATCGGTAGATCCCTGCTGAACCGGCAATTTCGATGTATGGGTAACTTTAGAGTTTTACTCATCTAACTTCTAGTAGATTATTGTGACAATAACATCTGCCACATTTTATGTATCACTATACATACAGTTTGTGGCCACACTGTACCTGAATTCCCTTTAATACAATTGTTTCTTCATTCAAAAAGGGAATCAAAAATCTAACTTCTTGAATATAAAACACAAATAATGTTGTAGCTTTCATGCCCTTGATTGGTTTTATCTTTGATTTTACTTTGACTTTGTTGGTAATATACAGTATCTCACATAAGTGAGTACACCCCTCACATTTTTGTAAATATTTTATTCTATCTTTTCATGTGACAACACTGAAGAAATGACACTTTGCTACAATGTAAAGTAGTGAGTGTACAGCTTGTATAACAGTGTAAATTTGCTGTCCCCTCAAAATAACTCAACACACAGCCATTAATGTCTAAACCGCTGGCAACAAAAGTGAGTACATCCCTAAGTGAAAATGTCCACATTCGGCCCAATTAGCCATTTTTCCTCCCCAGTGTCATGTGACTTGTTAGTGTTACAAGGTCTCAGGTGTGAATGGGGAGCAAGTGTGTTAAATTTGGTGTTATCATTCTCACTCTCTCATACTGTCATTGGAAGTTCAACATGGCACCTCAGGGCAAAGAACTCTGAGGATCTGAAAAAAAGAATTGTTGTTCTACATACATGGCCTCGGCTATAAGAAGATTGCCAAGACCTGAAACTGAGCTGCAGTACGGTGGCCAAGACCATACAGCGGTTTAACAGGACAGGTTCCACTCAGAACAGGCCTCGCCATGGTCGACCAAAGGAGTTGAGTGCATGTGCTCAGCGTCATATCCAGAGGTTGTCTTTGGGAAATAGACGTATGAGTGCTGCCAGCATTGCTGCAGAGGTTGAAGGGGTGGGGGGGTCAGCCTGTCAGTCCTCAGAGCATACGCCTCACACTGCATCAAATTGGTCTGTATGGCTGTCATCTCAGAAGGAAGCCTCTTCTAAAGATGATGTATAAGAAAGCCCGCAAACAGTTTGTTAAAGACAAGCAGACTAAGGACATGGATTACTGGAACCATATCCTGTGGTCTGATGAGACCAAGATAAACTGATTTGGTTCAAATGGTGTCAAGAGTGTGTTACGTCAACCAGGTGAGGAGTACAAAGACAAAAGTGTCTTGCCTCCAATCAAGCATGGTGGTGGTCATGGTCTGGGTGTCAGGAAAGGCCTGCCCATAGTGCAGGTGAAGTTCCACGGCACACAAATATGCGCATGCGCAGAGTCCTTATGAGCCAAACAGATGTGCAGGCACTTGGACATAGGCGCGCATACGTGTGCGCGCACATGGGCATGTGCACTCGCGCATACGGGCGCGCGCCTATCACTAATGCTGGCACCAAAAGGGCTATTTAAACTGGCTGCAGTAGTTGTCCCATTGCCGTATGGTCTTTTCCCTACTCGTGTTCCCTGATTCCTGTGATTGTCTCCTGATACCAAAACAGCTTGTTCCTGACCTCCGCTTGATTG